TAGTAATAATACTTTCTCATGCTGTAACTGCTGTAACTTAAGTCACAAATGTCTAAAATGTCTACCTTCGAAATGAAAAAGGTGAGCATTCAGTGGATAGTATGAAGTTTAAACATTTTGTTTATTTACGAATATCACCACCTTAAAAAAAATGTGAAACTATAATTATAGTTTGAAGGTTGGGAGACGGCCTTGGATCCTGATACTCTCAGTCTCCTTTCTATTCTGAATTTCCGTAAAACTAAATTTGACTTCACTTACGATAAGCGAATCGAGCACTTGACGATATCTAAATTTGTATCATGGATTGCAGAAAGTACAACGGACAAAAAGTGGAAAAAGGCTATCTACCTTCTCAACGATGGAATGCTAAAGGCGAGTATCTTTTTTATTTTAAGTTGATGTTTGGATGCAAGGGATAGGAAGAAGTTGGGTTATTATACCGGAACAACCACCTAAAGTGCCTGCCTACGCACCAGGCTAATAATGGAGTATTATCTCTGGTGGGCTTCTTCTCAAGTCTATGTGAAGGCCAGTGCCTATTATGCCAAAGTGCCAAGAACTATTATGTTCATTCGTAGCCCCTGACTATCTGCTTTGTCTTCAGGATTCGGTGTAGCCCTTTTACTAATCATTCTCTTGCTACTTCTATAGCAACAAGCGCAAGGGGATGGTGTGAGGATGTTCTGGAATAATGTCGAATTGGAGGTTGACACAATGAAGTTGAAGCAAGCTGAGGTGTGTCCTATAATCGATCATTTTAATTTGTCAAACGTTCTTATCAATTTTATTTTTGATTCACGGCTTGCAGGTTCAGTTTGCTGTCGACCAATCTCTTACGGGAAATAAGGCCAATTCCATTTTGAACGAGATGAAGCTAAGTTTTATTTTGAATCAGAAGAATGCAGTAATTGGATGCAAGCGAACCTATCCAAACGAGGAGTTAACTCAGCCAACTCCTCAAAATAAGGTAGAATATAACCTGATTATAGCGGTTTTTTTTTCATTTTGCTCATCGTTTTCCTATATCATTGTTTTTGAAATTTTACTATCAAGTATGCAAGACCACCGGAAAGTAAACTTCGCTCAAAGAAAGTCTATAATGACCAATAATAATCATTATAGCGAGATACTTATTTTTATATTAATACTATGCTTATTATAGGAGAAGAATCAT